TTGAACTTGAACATTCGATTGTGATTGTGTGAGATAGAGTAGACACTTCTTTGCTTGAAAAGTAAATTTTCTAGATAAAGGGTTACAATTATGATTCCAATTTCAACACCAACTTTCTGGGATTCCAATTTGATACTGTTTCTGACAATTGACGCATTCTGTTTTGTTTATGAACTTCTGAATGACTCAAACCTTCATGTGCAGATCGATGAACTTGTAGTACAAGCATTGGAACAAAAAGTGAGGAACAAGAAAGAAATTGAATCTTTTGCTCACCTATTGAACAATATGCAAACATCACTAAAGGTACACATACCCAATATTTTCACTACCCATTGTGTATCATTCTAACATTCTTCATTGATTTCCCAAACACAGCCATGGATTCCAAGATTCCAGAAACTTCTTTCAACCAATGATACTACAATCTCCAAGAATCAGTTACAAACAATTCTAGCAACAAGTAAGAAGATAACACCTCCATCTCCTTCTATAAACAAACCTCTTGAAAACCAAGAATCATACAAACTCGATTTCATGGTTTCTCCTTCACCATTAGTATCATGGCATGCTGAGTGCACTCAAGAAGGTGGTAGAAGCCTTTTCATGCTAACCCCTTTGCCTAAACCTTCAGCATTCACATCCAAACTAAAGAAATCATCCAAATCAGTATTCAAGAACATAACCAATGATCTTCCTGTTGCCACCAGTGAATTTTCTTCACCTGAAAAGGTGTTAAAAAGGGAGAATGCTACTAATAATGATAATAATTCTATCATTGTTTCTACTCCATACTTAAAGATGTCACCACCGAAGTCTTGTATATTACTAGAACCTGCTTCTGAACACTGCAAGAAGACTAATGGGAGTGTTAAGAATGGAATCATTGGTGGTGGAGATTCTGAAGCTTCTTCTTCTTCTAGTATTAGTCAAGGTTATGGACATTTAGGGTTGAAATATCCAGAGCTTTTTGGAATTAAACATGGGGATAAAATGGGAAATTCAAGAAAAGCGGTTGAAGCATCACCAAATTGGTGTATTTCACCACCTAAGACTTGTGTTTTGTTGGAGCCTAGTGATGATGATAAAGTTGTGATTAAAGATGTTGAAATAAACTTCCATAAGCCTCTCGATAAAGGTACGTATTTTTTTTTTTTTTTTGTAATTAAGTTTTGTTTTTGATTTTATTCTCTCTCCTCCACGTGTACACAACCATTTAAATTTTGTTGGTTTATTGGCAACCAAATTCAACCTAGTATTTTGTTAGAAAACGTTACTATTTGTATTTTGTAATCTACTTTTACTATTTTTAAGATCATAAGATGGAAATGAAATATTATTTTGTTTCAGAAGAAAGTAAACTTTTATTATTTTCGTTATTTTTTATTAGATTATAAGAAATATAAAAAAGTTTATGAAAGTATTCGAATATTTATAGAGAAAAAAAAAATACAAAGTTTTAGGTTTTTTCAATAAAATAAATGATATTCACCAAAATATCACTTTTGGCCAAAGTGGTAGGCTTTAGTTGAAAATTGTGGTTCTTTTGTGAACCAAAAGTCCAAAAGTGACCATTTTAGTAATCTAAGTTATAACTAATTTTTGACAAAAGAAAAAAAAAACAATAATAGGATGACATGTGGATATCCGTGTGTGATTTATTTTATGTATTGGAAGTGGGGCCGATGCCTTTTTTTTATTTTATTTTAAATTTGTGGATGTATTTATGTTTTTTTTTTTTTTTTTTTTTTTTTTAGGAGTTGTTGATAGTACGCCAATGTGTAAGGATCTTGACACAACGGTTTTAAGAGGGAAGCGTGTTGGGGAGAACACTTTAAAGAAAGAATTGTGGATGAGATTTGAAGCAGCAACAGCTCATGAGCTTCGGTTCAAAGCATCTGTTGGTGGACATGGACAGACTATTACTACTACTACTAGTAGTAATGACTGTAAAGGGTTTATGGAGTTGTTGGAAGAGGTCTGTAGTGATGACTGAATGAATCTTCCAAATATGTATTCCCTTCTTATAAACTACTTGCAAAATTTTTTGACCATGAAGGTTTACAAGTTGAATCTCCCCTCGATTTCGTGTTTTATGTTCCTTTTAAGCTATAAAAAAATTAAGGAAATATATCTTTTGGGTGAAATTAATCCATAATTGATAAGAAGTTTAATACCATTTAACCTTTTGGGTGAAAAGTAAGATCCCTTTGTATTTGTAAAATAGATGTGAACAAAATAGGATTCAAGGGATAGGGTCTTTTTTTGGTCATAGCGGTCAAGACTGTTCAAGAATATTAAACTTTAAAATTATACAATATTTATTCTATTAAGGTGAAACCAAAATGAATATGTAAACTTTGAATTAGATAGCTAATATCTTGGAATGAGAAAATACAAGAAAGATTAAAATGCTTCGAACCATGGGTGTTATTACTAGGACGATTTATTGGGGGAAAAATGATTGATGATACCGTTCCTAGTGGTCCAAGACTGGTTTAGACTGAAACAAGACCTAGTCAAGATCGTTTTTTCAAATACAAATCATGAGAATTGAGACCGATATGAAGCTAAAACTAAGCCGTGTGAAGTTTGAAATGACAAACCGATCTAAGACTATGTTTTACGGAATTGTGTGGATAGATTAGCTTAAGGAGCCTTGTATGATATATTATAATTTTCTATTGCGAGTATTGAATACAGTCTTGTTGTTCATATACTTGAAATCCAATTAAAAAAACAGCAACAAGTGTATCAAAAATAATTTATTTCCTCGGCTTCGTGGATTGAAAAAAAAGCAAGCATTGCCAAAAAAAAAAAAAATAATAAAATAAAATTGTGAGAACAGCTATATCAAAACTTTTCTTTTTTATGTAACCCAAATGAAAGATGATACACCAACTGATCCAATCGTTTGCCAAAATAAAAGGACCGGGATATATCACCAACGAGCGGTTAAGAGTCATACAGACGTCGCCACTTTACAACCCATAAGGCTAGACGGTGTGGGTTCGGCGCACACCAGACCGAGTACTCGGCATGCCGAGCTCGGCTCCGCAAGTCATTGACCAAATGGTGATAGAGAGAAAAAAGTTTTCAATTGGAAAGTTACATTAAAGGTCATCATAAATTCTTTTTTGCTTCACTCTCTCCCTTAAACTCAACTTGTAAATAATATTAACCCTTCAACTTTATAAAAAATGGAGTAAATTACACCAATGGTCTCTATGTTTGGGGTAATTTGTGCGCTTGGTTACTAACTTAATTTTTTTTAACTCGGAAAGTTTCTACTGTTTATTTTTGTTACGTGTTTGGTCTTTGTCTTACCTAAAAAAATTATTATTTAAATATGAAAAAATGGTGGGGTTGGAGGTATGTTTATTTAAATAAATTAAAAAAACAATGACAAAATAGTTTTTTTAGGTAAGACAGAGACCAAGCGCGTAACAAAAACAAACAATAAGAACCTTCCAAGTTTAAAAAAAAAGTTAGGGATCAAATGCACAAATTACCCTAAACCATGGGGACCATTCATGAACCATTCATGTAATTTACTTTAAAATTGTCATTTGAGTTGTTGCCTTTCATATTTAATGATCTTTATTAATTCAAGTAAACTAATTTTTTTATATAAGTTAATTGTTATTAACATTCTTTGTGTCCTCATTTTAAAATCTGATCTAGCCTCCGCCTAATCATATGAAATAAACACTCTAATCAATACATCTCTCAAGGATAGACTATTCCCTCTCTTAGTACTCTCAGAAGGGTAAAATACCATTTTACCCCTCTCATGGCTCCAAGACCCTAAAATTGACCAAACCCTAAAAGTCAACAAAAGTCAACTCTCCGGGTTACGCTGCGCGTAGCAAACATGTACGTTGGGCGTACCCGGTGTCTTCACAGAAACGGGGTGCGCGACCCCTTACGCCGCGTGTACTGAGATTACGCCCCGCGTAACTCCTAGTTTTAAACTCTAAGCTTTTGGGGTCTTAAACAGTTAAGACTCACGTCCAACTTCTAGATCTGACCACTTTTAAGCCTCTTAATCCATAAAGTTGGTGACTTTTAAGCCTTTGCATGGCTGGACAAAGTCACTATCACTCATAATATTCCACTTCCCAACTCTAGAGAGCTCATAACTCAAGCATGACCTCATATCAACGACCAAGATAGACACTTTATGGATCTATAACACAAATACAACTGAAATGGGACAGATCTAGGTCCATGGAGCACATTACATTCATAAAGTCTCCACCTTTGGGACTTTTAACCCTAGAAATGGTCCATGCAGCATCAAACCAAATAAGGAGGAAAGTTTTGAACTTTATACCTCTAGATGAAGCTCCTTTCTCTGAAGATCTCAGATCCAACCTTGCACTTCAAGCCCTGGCCTCCACAAGCTCTTTTCCTTCTTCTTCACTAACACACCAAAACACTTTTAGCTCCAAAATACACACACTCAAGTTATGGATGATGGAAGGTTGTCTCTTAGGGTTTTACTCTCTAATATGGAGGCTGAGAAATGAGCCTTAGCGTCCTTTAAATAGTACACAAGCCAAACATTTAGGGTTTGCATCTGGACCCATTACGCCCCGCGTAACCTTGGGTACGCCCAGCGTAGCCAAGCGAGTCCGCGTCCAAATTAAGCACATAAGTACAGTACGCCCAACGTACTCATTTGCTACAAGAATTAACTCAAGGGACCACTCTTGACAACTTGATAAAATGGAAGGGTTTAATAGTTTTACCTGTATTTCAGGATGTTACAGAGAGGTGTTTGAAGAAATTTAAAGTGAGAATGATGGTGGGGAATTAGCTTTGACCGAGAAATAGACAAGAGGAGAGAGAGAGAGAGAGAGAGAGAGGGAGAGAAAGACCTAGTTGGTTATTACATGAAGGTTTAGAATGTTTAATCATGGAAATATGTGAGGTAATTAACTTGGAAGACCTCTAGCTAATAATGAGGTGTCTTCATTAAGGTTTTCCCATTTTTTCTCTTTTTTTTTATCAAAACCGAGAATGGAGTAAAGAGGATGAGAAAATAATTAATTTGGGCCATTAATGAATATATTCTAATGTTATAGGGTCTAATATGGAAATTTTAGTCCATTGAGCCCTTTTATAGGTTTACGGCCCAAAAGGGTGAACAAAATGGGTATTCGGCCCATTAATGTTCAAGAAACCATTTACGGCCCATTAAGGCCTATGATAACAAAGTGAGACATTTTAGGCCCATAAGGCCCATGAGAAGTAGAATGGCCCAAAATGCTATTGTTTAATGAATGTGGGTCCAATTAGGGCCTAATTAAAGACTCTTAGCTTAAAAGAATCAAGTTGAGGGTTTATTGATCCATTAGGCCCAATAAAATGATTCATGGTCCATTAAAATGTTTGAACTGGGATATTAGGGTTTCAAACCCACAGTTGAGTACATGAGATGTAGTTAATTAGTTTTTGAACTTCACGAGTGGATTTTAATTCAAATGGTTGATTTTGAATGAACACAATACATGACATCAATTTAGATTACAAACTATACAAGAGTTGATTTTACATGAAGACAAAATTTCATAGCTAAAATGTTAGTTATGACACTATAGGATTACACCTAATAGCAAGTTGTGACTGATTGATTATTATTTAGTAATTTTATTATAAATAAATCCAATCAACACTAGAGTATGAAATAATAAAACTAGAGTATAACTAGTTATATATAATCATATATTATGATTAAAAGATTGTGTACATTATTTTGGACTTGTGGAAGTCTACTAGTTAAATAAAGTGTATATTTAAATAATAGAATGGAGTGTTAGACACATTTTCTCATTCTCTTTCATTGTCATCGTCCCTACCATGCATGGTATGGGTTGCTTGCTTTCTTGGCTCTTACTTACACATATCATGCTGCATATAAGTGCGAGATGCGTGAATCGCAATGCTAGTCGTAAGAGATCATTTCTAGTTTAGCAAGGAGAATTAGATTTCATTTTTTTGAAAGTATCGGCTGCATGATATAAGTGCAAGTATATAAAGAAGAGTAAGAGACAAAAACTAGCTATTTTTATTCTTCTTTTTGGCTCAAACTTGAGAGCTCTCATGCTTCTCCCCTCTCCTCTCACTTGCAAAGTGTTGTGTAGTTTGAGTGTTCTAAGTTACTTATCCTTTAAGGCTTATTTGTCATAAGTTCTTTAAGGCTTAAGATGTGCTTAATATAAGTGAAGATTTGCATATTTAGTGTCTTACCCTTGCTTGATGTATACTTATAGAGGAACTCTCCTTTGTGTTGTTGTTATCTTCATCAACTTCCAACCTCTCGAGATGAATCAAAGTCTTCAAAGGTTGTAGGTTATTTACTTACTTATTTATTTATTTATATCTATCTATGGTTGTTTTAATCTTTCCATGATTGCAAAATGATCATTGGTGGGTATAAAATGATTTTATTATTATTATTATTCAAAATTTAATGTTTTTATTGATAAACTTGTAGTTTTTTATAGACTATTTTTGAATAAAACCCAACATAGATGACATACACTAAGATAAATGAGCTTAATCCATCAAAAAAGGATTGGATTATTCAGGTACGATTGTGTATGATGTGGGAAGTGGTGGATCATAAGAATGAAAACGATATAATAGGTTTGAGGATGGTATTTATTGATAATAAGGTATATTTTTTGTATATGTTTTCTTTTAAGTTATTTAGAATATATGCATAATTATGATGTCAAATAAATTGACATTTGAATTGTTTGTCTACATATTGTTAGGGTGAATCGATTCATGTTTTCATCGAGAAGAACCAAATTAATAAGTACGAAACTATTTTGGAAGAAAAAGTGGTCTACGCTATTCTGGTTTTCAAAGTCACCAAATAAAATGCTCAATATAAGGTTGTGTCAAACGAAAACCATATCTACTTTAATATGACAACTTTGGTACTAAAGCTCGCAACTATATGTCATGAAATCCATACACATGTGTTCTTCTTTATGCCCAACGAGACTCATAAAGAAATAGTAAAAAACAATTCACTTATCACATATAACTTTCATATTATTTTCTCTTTTATTTAG